TTTAGACTTTTCAAACTAATTAGCCAAATATCTCCATACAATTTGCAGCAATTTGATTTCTATACTCTATATACTTTTCGATATTGCATACGATAAATGAATTACAATTCCAATGATGACGAAAATTGACGCAAAACTCTAATCCACTTAGACGCTTCACGAACCTTCCCCGTGTTAAGAAGAAAAGACTTTTTGCCATTCACAGTATATGAGCGTTCCAATTTACAATTTCATTCTAGTCGGTGAACTCAGCATACCAGTCAAAAACATCTCCAAAGATCTTGCTCAAATTATTTATTATCAAGACCCGGTCATGTCCAATATACTCATGTTGAGGAGAAACCCAATTGTGGGTCAAGTAATCTAAAATATTCTTGAGACGGAATGATTCACAAATTGTAATTATCACAACTACAAGTGATTTCTTCGAGTTAGCAATCTGATCGGGCCTCGTCGGATCTCCCGATTCAGCAACTGCAACAAGATACAATATTGAATCTCTAACTATTTCAAAATTAATTCTCAAATCAATAAGTTCACGAATATCATAGCCTAGAGAACTGTAACTTCCTTTCATCGACAACGGAGTAGAATTTGCAAGGCGACTATGATGGCTACACTCAAAGAAATCAGTTCCATTACACGAAAAGCCAAGCATATAAAATTCATCCGTCTTTATTCTCAAATATAGCACCCTATTTTAGAGTTACGCTATTCTACAATTCAACGTAATTATATGTGGAACAGAGTCCTTTGGTACATGCGGGTCCAAAACAGGGTACTCATAATCATTGGTCGTATAAGTTTCAGAACATCCTCTTGAAATTAAATTTAAAGCATTCACAAGAGACTCAAGATCATCACTTAAACATACATCAAAAGGGGGATATTCAGCAAACCGAAACATGTATGAACCTAGCAACAATACAACTCTAATAAAAAATCACAAACTGAAATCTAAAGTTTATTTTTGGACAAAAGAGATCTAATAAATCATCAAAATGTATAAATACAACACAAGGTAGTGACGTACGATGCGATTAAACCAAACCAAAAAGACTTAAAATAGGAAATGAACCATAATTTTGCCATACATAAGCACGAAGACTTGAATATTGAAGACATGTTGTTTTGACATTAGCCACTAATGTCAGAATATGACATTGTTCTATTTAGGGGCCCTATGAGACGCTATTCTAGCTTTGACAACAAATTCATTCAAATTTAGCACCAAAGGGAATTTCTATTTGTTTAATTTTTTCAAATAGGAATTCGAATTCAGATATATGACACAAAGTTTAGATTACATTTGTATTTAAATGTGACTAAGCAACATAAATGAAGTTTACATATAACCTCCATGAAAATGCACTTAAAACACAGTGCTCATGCATATTCATAGAAATGAAGTAAACAAACAGAAAAATGTCGCAAGCCTATACACAAGGTTGCAAAAAAAGGACAGGCTAAAGTTAATGATGCCTATTCAAAAAAACTTAGAAAACATCAATGTCCAATCCAGTATTTGAGCATAAGATAGAGATACATCCTTAGATTGCTTAAGTTCAAACGGTAAATCATTATGCAAGTTGGAAGATAATAGAGTTAACTATTTTATACAATCTTTTACCCTCCATACTAAGAATTACATAGAATTCTTACCTTATTATTAATATTTGAACAATCATTTATACAATTTTGATTGCTCATATAAACAATCATTCTTACCAAATATATATATGAGCAATCAAAATTGCATTAATGATTGTTCAACTATTAATAATAAGGTAAGAATTCTATGTAATTCTTAATTTGAAGGGTAAAAGATTGTATAAAATAATTAACTCTATTATCTTCCGACTTGCATAATGAGTTAGCGTTTGAACTTAAGCAATCTAAGGATGTATCTCTATCTTATGCTCAAATAGTGCACTGGACATTGATGTTTTTTAAGTTTTTTTTGAATTGGCATCATAAACTTTAGCATGTCCCTTTTTTGCAACCTTGTGTATTGGCTTGCGACATTTTTCTGTTTGCTTACTTCATTTCTATGAATATGCATGGGCACTATGTTTTAAGTGTGTTTTCATGGAGGTTATATGTAAACTTCATTTATGTTGCTTAGTCACATTTAAATACAGATGTAATCTAAACTTTGTGTCATATATATGAATTCAAATTCCTATTCGAAAAAATTAAAGAAATAGAAATTCACTTTGGTGCTAAATTTGATTAAATTTGTTGTCAAATCTAGAAGAGCGTCTCATAAGGCCCCTAAATAAATCCATTTCATATTATGACATTAGTGGCTAATGTCAGGCTAATGTCAAAACAACATGTCTTCAATGTTCAAGTCTTCCTGCTTATGTATGGCAAAATTATGGTTCATTTCCTATTTTAAATCCTTTTGGTTTGGTTCAATTTCATCGTACGTCACTACCTTGTGTTCTATTTATACATTTTGATGATTTATTAGATCTCTTTTGCCAAAAATAAACTTTAGATTTCAGTTTGTGATTTTTTTATTAAAGTTGTTTTGTTGCTAGGTTCATACATGTTTTGTTTGCTGAATATCCCCCTTTTGATGTATGTTTAAGTGATGATCTTGAGTCTCTTGTGAATGCTTTAAATTCAATTTCAAGAGGATGTTCTGAAACTTATACGACCAATGATTATGAGTACCATGTTTTGGACCCGCATGTACCAAAGGACTCTGTTCCACATATAATTACGTTGAATTGTAGAATAGCGCAACTCTAAAATAGGGTGCTATATTTGAGAATAAAGACGGATGAATTTTATATGCTTGGCTTTTCGTGTAATGGAACTGATTTATTTGAGTGTAGCCATCATAGTCGCCTTGCAAATTCTACTTCGTTGTCGATGAAAGGAAGTTATAGTTCTTTAGGCTATGATATTCGTGAACATATTGATTTGAGAATCAATTTTGAAATAGTTAAAGATTCAATATTGTATCTTGTTGCAGTTGCTGAATCGGGAGATCCAACGAGGCCCGATCCAATTGCTAACTCGAAGAAATCACTTGTAGTTATGATAATTACAATTTGTGAATCATTCCGTCTCGAGAATATTTTAGATTACTTGACCCACAATTGGGTCTCTCCTCAACTAGAGAATATTGGACATGACTGGGTCTTGATAATAAATAATTGGAGCAAGATCTTTGGAGATGTTTTTGACTGGTATGCTGAGTTCACCGACTAGAATGAAATTGTAAATTGGAACGCTCATATACTGTGAATGGCAAAAAGTCTTTTCTTCTTAACACGGGGAAGGTTCGTGAAGCGTCTAAGTGGATTAGAGTTTTGCGTCAATTTTCGTCATCATTGGAATTGTAATTCATTTATCGTATGCAATATCGAAAAGTATATGGAGTATAGAAATCAAATTGTTGCAAATTGTATGNTAATAAATAATTGGAGCAAGATCTTTGGAGATGTTTTTGACTGGTATGCTGAGTTCACCGACTAGAATGAAATTGTAAATTGGAACGCTCATATACTGTGAATGGCAAAAAGTCTTTTCTTCTTAACACGGGGAAGGTTCGTGAAGCGTCTAAGTGGATTAGAGTTTTGCGTCAATTTTCGTCATCATTGGAATTGTAATTCATTTATCGTATGCAATATCGAAAAGTATATGGAGTATAGAAATCAAATTGTTGCAAATTGTATGGAGATGTTTGGCTAATTATGAAGGGCGAGTACGAGGTGTAGTGTGGATGATATAGCTAGAATGGTTTGGTAACTTGATCATTGGGGAATCGTCAAATGCTGAGCTAACCATCTGAAGCTTGAGTTGCCCAAGGTTGAAACACACTTACAGAATGGTGCAAATGATAAACTGTGAGTTCCTTTGGAAGCTTTGAAATATATTGATAGTTTGATTCGTTTTGAAAAGCCTAAATGTTGGCTCAGGGCAAGAACAATTTATCCAAATCTCGGAAATAACAGTGATAAGGAATCTTACATTGTCATTATTACCTAGAGCAACTGTGTGGAAACCTATTTAACAGTTGTCAGTTGTCACTTCCTGTTTCACTTGTATACTAAGGAGTACCAGTAACCAGTTACGAAAGGATGTATATGGCATGTGTTTTTACTCACACTATCATATTATTACATGTACGAGTAAATATTTTCTTGGCTTAAAGCTTTTTGGTAATTAGCATTTTGCAATATTTGTAATCCACGACATGTTTTTCACAGGCCAAAGCGATAGTGTGTTTGGATTGCTTCCATGAAGGAAGATTTGTGATTGGTCACTCAAGTTTAGATTTTTTCAAGGTCAGCTCTACAAAAGTTTTGGAAATCTAGATGGTGAAACTTGGACTGATCACGCACTGCTGGTTCTAGGGGGGATGCAACTCTACAACAAAAATTGTGTCCAAATTATAGACCAGGTTGGCTCTAAGTCAAAGGGGTAGTGCATCATTGACATATGGCTCTGGCTACCAAACAGATATATTTGGTGTTTAAACATTTTCATCCATCACTCTAAGGAAGCTAATTTATGTGCGCTTCCGATGTTTCCATGTAGTTAGAGAAGGCAGCAAAACTAGACTCAGGGGCAGTATGGGCTACACGATTTTTCTAGCGATATCTTACGGCTCGATAGAGTAGACAAGGCGTACAGGATCCCATGCCCGTGATAGGGTTGTCTTGCTTCTCTGGCAGCAGGAGCCGAGTACGTGATTTTTTCCTTGGATGACACCCGAGTAAAGGTTTGTCAGGTCTGCCCCTAGGTCCGAGTGTATCCAGCCGAACTGAGTATAGACGCGTGTCCAAGTGCGGTTGTTGTCTTGATGGTTTGTTTTCCTTTAAATCTCGCTCAGCCCAGTAAAGCGATTTTGGCCGAGCACGTCCGATTCCTGTGATCGGATGAGCCTTGTGTTGGGCCATTATTGTTTTTGTTAGGCTGGATACCCCCAATCCACGGTATCCATCAGGTATATTGGGTATAATTTTTTATAGGGTATTTTAATTCGAATATATTCGTTAACATATCGAATAGAATACATAAATATGTGTATTCGTGTTCATTTTCTTTCGAATTCTAATAAATATTTATATTCTTATTCGTATTCATTTTTTCCGAATACGAATCATGAATCAAATCAAAATTATTCATTCGTTTTACAACCCTAACTACAACCACTCGGTGACGGGTCACCCCTACTTAGCCGGTGACCATTATCAAAATTGGAAGAAGTGGGAGATCATATATATGGGCAATTGAAGGCAACAAGGAAAGGAAAGAGCGCTGATGTCAACGAGGTCTACCTCTGCTGTCATGGAAGCAAGTCATCTCCACTGCACAAGGCCTCTACAAGGCCTCTGAGCAAAATTAAACCGCTAACAGCAGCAATCTCAAGCTAGCTTTCACATCCGCCTTTGAACGTTGAACATTGTTTTGATTTGGGTGACAACCAAGTGTTTTTGGTATATAAAAACATTTATGAAAAATGTTTTAATTATGCATGAAAATGATTTGAAAGTTTTTGAGAGATAAGACTTGAACCCTAATGTTAGCCTTTTCACAATAAGACCAACTCAATTTCTAAGTCTAAGTCTTCGTCTCTAGTCTTTCTTCTTGGTTCCATTTTATCTTTTACCAATGTTTGTTCTTCGCCTTGATATGTTTAATAAGGTTTCTTCATATCCTTGGCAGTTTGACATTTATCAAAATCTATCAAAAATGAACATCACTTTAGTTTGACGTTATCATAAAGTGTCTTACAATAGTATTTTGTTAGCCTAGTTTATCATTCTTTCCCGGCTAAAAACGATACACTGGTAAAGATAATTTACACCATCACCGATAATACTAGCATTACTAAGATAATGTATTGCCACCAGTTGCCGATGAGTAGGTTCTAGTTCTAGTCCCGGTTCTAGAGCCTTATTTTTGTTAAGTTAATCTTTTAATGCAAAAATTATAAGTGGCTAAAAATTTTATCTGAATATATTTGTTACTTGGCTTGTAAAATAGTGTGAATTGGATAATATAAACCATATAATTCACAATTTGTCTGATACCCTGATGTTTCAAAAAAACAACGAGATAAAAAATCATAAAGAAACCCTCGAAAGAGTTAATAGACCATTCACCTAAACACCAAATTACATGAATTCAGAATAAAAGAATATATAATATGTCACTCGTCTTAAGTACCACTTGTAATACCCCAACCCGCGTAACCCGAATAATTGGATTACCGAACTGAAATATTGATAAATTGGTATCCACATACAATATTTCTCCAAATAAATTAAAAGCATTTAATTCAAAAATCCAAACATTTTAAATGTTTTTAGACATTTATTGGAGTTAATTCAAAATAGTGCGGAAGCTAACTGTAGTTTAATAAAAATCATCATGACATCATTATTAACAGAAACCACCATAGTAACTGTCCGTTCTAAGTCCTGCATCCGTACACCTCCCCCGTCTCGCTACTCTTCAGGATCAACTGACCCCAGTCTTACGTGTGTGCACCAAAACAAAACAACAACACACTCAGCGATGAGCTGAGTGAGAAATATTTAACATTTCAAACATACATATAAGCGAACCCACTAGTTCACAGTTGTCCCATTACATCATGCACATAAGTATAATACATGCAATTCACGCAAGTAGTTGTTCATCATAGAATTTATCTGGCACTTTTCCATCCTCGTTCTCATCATACCTATGTGTTCATCGTAATGGTGGATCACAATTGATTTGCACTTACTATCTATACTAGACAAAGGACTTTCTACTTTTCTTGGAGTCATGATTGTTCCCACTAGATCAGCGGGTCATGCTCAACCAACAAAGGAGTTCTTCGTTGGGTGGGTAGAATCCCCACCAGATGAAGCACCAGGCAGTTCAGGGATACCCATACGTACTTTTTTACTTGATGTTACCATTGGGCCCTGCATGTGCCACATGGCATTACTCTTAATATTAGTACTTGAGTCAGTCCTAGAGTTCCTCTAGGCAGACTTACCATAGCTCATGAGATTAGATTAACACATATGTAACATATGCTTCACGTATCATAACAAATATCGGCATAATGTTGGGTATCGGCACTCAAACTTACCGTCATGCAACACATAAGGTCTCAGGAGCCAACCACGTCTGTTTGGCAGTACCTGTTATGGTACATGTTACGGTACCTGAGTACTGGTGGACGGTACCTGAGTACCACCACACGGTACCGGGTTACCGTGCAAGGAAACAACCGATAGTACTGAATGGACTGTGGCGGTAGCTGACTACCGTTTGCGTGACAGTTGAGTACCGAACGAACGTAGCAACCGACAGAGCGGAAACAACTATGGTGGTAGCTAAGTATCGGTAGGTGGTACCTACCTATCATCTGACGATCTACAACCTAGTGCAGCGCGAACTTTTGCCTTTCAACGTCTTTTTCAAAGTCCCGAATCCAATTCCAACCAATTCAAATGATAAAACATGATTACTATATCACGTAAAACATATCTAATAAATCATCTAACGCCTAAGATCATGGTTCTACCTGTTTGATTCAATCAACGATAACCCAAACCACAATCAAGCAATTCTAAACAAGTATCTCACGCAAATCTATCACGACAAGCAACTATGAACGGGAATTTCAAATCTAGATGCATATTATAGTGTTAGAGGTCCACGTGCTCACCTCGATTGATTTGATTAAGGAGAACGAAACTTGGAAGCTATCAACAGAGTAGTCGCATCCCGCGGTCTAAATCGTGTTCATTGCCCCCAGACGCCATCACCGAAAGTCCGGAATAGATATGTCCGCTGCCACACCGTGACCCCGCTACCCAGAACTGACCGCCACTACCCAACCGACACTAGAGTACCGTCCCTGCTGCTCAGGTACCGTCCGTGCTGCTTGGGTCCTGCCTCGCTGCCCAAATCAGCCCGGATATTGCTAGGGCACCATCGCCATAGCTGCAGGTCGCCAGAGCAAGGGGTCCAGACCTTGCCGGCATTGGTGAGAGGTAGCCACCTTTGCCTCACCGTCACCAAAAGAACCTGTCGCGGACAAGGATGAGCCACTCTGCCATGCACTTTTGCTGCGCTAATCGAAACGGAGAGGAAGGAGGAGCAGGGGAGGGGGGTCACTGCCGATGGGCCTACCACCTAGGTCATCACCGGAGGGATTGCCACCTGCGTACCGCTGCCAGCGTTGTTGGGGTTGCAGGCTGGCGAAGGACAAAGGAGAAGGCAGGGGTTTTGCCGGGAAGAATTGAGGCCATCTTCCTCATTGTCCAATTGTCACTGCATCGCCGTGGTCGGGAAGCCGGATCGCCACCTAGCCGCTGCGTCGGCGCATCGAATCTAAGAAAAGAAACGAGCAAGGAGCAGCGACCCACGGATCGAAGAAGAAAAGGGGAACGAGGGCTCCGCGTGAAACCTCAGCCACAATTCCGTATATATATACGGAGTATAATTATTTTCTTATTTTATTTCTAAAATCTTTTTATTTACTTATTCTACTCTAGCCTCTATTAAATGTATACTACCTCCGTCCCACTCTTTTTGTCCAGTTTTGACTCTTGGAACTGTTCATCTAAGCACTTTGACTCATCAAATTCTCTCAATGTGTAAGTCTAAAAATAGTCATGTGTGATTTTGTTTGATTTGTCTTAACATATAGATTATTAATATATATTTTTTATAATTTTTTAATATACAAATTACAAGATAAAATGGATTGAAGAAGTGCATTGGATGGTGTGCAAAAATGAAAGTGGACAAAAAGAGTGGGACAGAGGGAGTAACATTTTACATATAAGTCCAAACTCACAAAATTATCTGTCGTTGGTAATCTTTTTGCGAGATCTACTCAATGATCTAATTTTGAATGTATAATTTCAACATTCTGACTTACTCATGTTTTTAAGACACGGAAGGATTATACTTTTTGCCAAATACCTCTGAATTGAGTTCGGTTTGCGTTTCTAAGTTCGGATTGTTAGCCATAATGACTTAGGTGCTGTTTCTTTTTTCGGCAGAAAAAGGTATGCACTCTGCAGACCACATCTGCACACATCTGCAAGATAAGAGGTGGACCAAAGGTCTGCAGTCTACAAGAGGAAGACTGTTTTTTAATTTCTACAGATTGCTTAAATAAACTGAAATTAAAAATAAACAGATTTTTAAAGCAATCAAGATTTTTTAAACATTTAAATTTAATCAAGAGTTCTACAACACTGAAACAACAACAATAACATTTTTTAAAATAACAAAAATAACAATTTTTCAAATAATTTATTCCGCACTTTGCATTAAGTGCTCGGAAATTTTTCAAATAATTTATTCCACACTTTTCAAATAATTTATTCCGCACTTTGCATAAAGTGCTCGGGAATTGAACTACTACAACAATCTTTAACAACAATTAACAACAAATTGCTGACTATTGTATAAAAAAAGATATTAAAAAAATGTAAAAAAAACTGTACAAATTGTTGTCACCAGGGATGAGAATGTAAAAAAATGTATTAAAAAAATTGACTATTGTACAAATTGTTAACAACAAAAAATGTAAAAAAAATTGTTGAAAAAAGAGATTAAAAAAACATACTTGTTGCTACAGGGATGAGAATCGGAGGAGATGGACGCAAGGGATGAGAAGAAGCCGGCGGGGATGAGGAGACGGAGGAGGCGTCACCGGCGGGGATGAGGAGAGTCGGCGGAGGGAGACGAACGGCTGGGGAGGAGGGAGACGGACGGTGGACGGCTGGGGAGGATGATGAGAAGCCGGCAGAGGGAGAGAGGAGTTGCCGGTGGTGGTGGAGACTCCGGCAGTAGAGGGTCGCGCATAGGGACGGACGGAGAGATCGGGAAGGGAGGCGGATATGTAGATTTTGAGATGGATTGTAATTGATGAGAAGACGTGAGAAGCTGTTGGTTTATGTCTGCTTGAGGAAGATATTTGGAAGACGTTTTTAAGTGATTTGTCTTCTAAAAAACAAACAGTCTGCGCGTCCCTAATGTCTCCCCGCGTCTGCACGGCGCAGACATAAATGGTTAGAAGCTCTTCTCACCAAAAAAACAAACACCCTCTTATTAAAAGTCGGTACTTACAACTTTATATTTTTCTAACCTTGGGTCTATCTCATTCATTAAATAAATCCATCATTTGGTTCAAATGGCATACAGGTGATTAAAACACCCCTAGTCACTCTTAATTCTTTAAAAAAGTTACTTTTTTAATAAATAATACTTATTTATCTTAAAAATTCCAATAAACTACTAGACCGGTCTCTAGGGCGTTACACCACTTCTCTATGTGGTTGTTGTGTTTATGTAGTTCTTTGGATCCATGTGGTACCCCACCTCTTGTTGTCAATGCCTCGCCATGATCCAATCTTGGTTGCATAATAGATATCCATTGATTCTAGATTGAGCCTAGTTTGAAAGTCGGTCAAAATGTTTCTGTTGGAACTAAACTCATACTCTATGTTCCCCTTTAACACTGATATAGACACCACCTGTCTAGAAAACATTCCCAACATTGAGAATATGTGCCCATTCTGTTTCCAACAATCGAGGGCCGTACAAAATACGGAGTTCAGAATATAAAGATTTAAGTAATAAAACAATGTTACTCATTTCACATCCTTCTAATCAATAAAATGTTCAAAAAACAATCATTTTCATTAAAAAGAAACAATCATAGTATTACTTCATAAGAATATTAAAATATTCAAATTTTGAAGCAGGAACTACAAATAATAGTGATCTTGTAAATATCAAATATGTGGAAGTAATTCTAACATGGTGGAGAGATTTTCAACAATATCAAATTCATTCATATTAATAATCACATGACCAAGGTTAAACTTAAGAAAGAAAAAGTTCTTCTCTATAATTCAAACCCCTTTTAATCAGCTTATACGTAATGTTCCACCAGTTTGTAATATCCTTATAAAATTATACGATGTTTCTATGCATAAACCGACAAAAATCCTTCCACACAGTTGAGTTATATCGATTACCCCAAATTAATTTCAAATTGTTCTCTAATGTTGGTCATTACTCCTCGCATAGTCGTTAACCTAATTGAACGCACAAACTTAAAACATAACATGTGCACCTCTAGTGTGAAAACTACCCATGGCGCTAGAAGGGTGACAAAGTTCTCTAAGTCTAGGATTGATGGTTGTGTCATTACTAGCGTTGCCAAAGTCAAATGCAAACACTTTATCTTCTAAAAAATATTCATGCAAAATATGCTGAAGCAAAATAATAGTATTGTAAGTAGTATGATACCATTTAACTCATTGAAGGCCAACGTGCTTATGCATGAACCTATGAGTATCAATCTTATAACACGTAACACCATATATGACAAGCAATGATATGTTTTGCCCCAAATATCTTAGCAAATAATGACAAAAAATTATAAAATATTGAAAAAATTGCAAAATTTAATTTTTCAGAGGAATATTAATTAATACATTTTTCTAATTGTTTTTTTCAAAACCTATAGCTTGTAGGAATAGTGCAATTTAACAATATTTTACAAAACCATATTTTTCTAAAAATATAAATGACAAATTTTCTTCGTAAATTATCTTAGTAATTCTTTATTTATTTTGCTCATTGTTATAAATAAAGAGTTTGCCTCATTTTTTAGCAAAATAAAAAATTTGGTTTTGTTTGCCATTGCCCTTCAACTTAGAAAATTCAACAATGTGCCTCGCCGCGAGGTGCTCGTTGACCGAACCATAACCCACGGGAGCCTCTATATTTATATCTTTTTCACAATGTAGGCAAAATCTAATGCACTTGCCAGTTAAAACTTTTTTCTGTTTTTAAAATGATATTTAAATAGATCATATGTAAGTTTTTTAGCTTGCTCTGATCCCGCAGAGAGCTTAGATTCACATTGCAAATTCACATTGCGTCTCCCCAATTGGACTATTACTTTCAAGACTATGCTCCTTTGTCATCTTCTCATCCTCCACACCGATTGAATCCATGAGATTCGTGTCAAGACGTGACTAGGAAACCAAAAATGAATTTAAAAAATTAAACTAGACTGTTATTATTTGGTTTTCGTTTTGTTTTTCACTTTGGAAAATCGAACTGAACCGATTAAACTAAATTTTTCCATGTACTCTATTTTATCTGCATGAGTTAGGTTCGGCCATGGTGCTTTACCGGGCGAGGCCTATTTTTTCAAGGGTTAATAAATTAAGTTATCTATTACAATATTTAATTATAATACTATATTTTTTTTTTATGTATAGTATATTACTACAATACTCCAAATTATTAATTATTGTTTTATAAAATAATTTATACTCTATATAATTTAATGACCAAGACCTATTTTTTTTGTCTTGTCAAGGGCCATCATATCCTTGGGATCGACCATGATATGAGTATATGTGATATAGAAAATAATTTATAAAAACATAAATGTAAATAACTGAACAGATGATTAAATTTATTTTTCCTTGAATACTAATCATTTGTAACCATATTATAATATTTAATAATTAAAAATATAAACACCAATAACTAATCATAATACATAGTTATATTACCATTATAAATTGATATGAATATTTTTCATATTTGCATGAAAAATTTGGTGTTATAATGGAAATGAAAGTATTATACAAAAAATGTAAATACTCCATAATTGGTATTTACATACGAAGCCTTTGAGAATATTTAGAATCTCCTAAATGTTTGGTGAGCACTTAACACTCTCTCTCAATTTGAGGGCTGGGCAGGTATATGTGTATAATTGGTTGAACCCTCTTTTTGTATTATTTTTTTTCACAAGTTAATTTAGTTCTAGTTATGTAAGAATGCAAGTGTCTAACTTGTATTTTAGATGTAATAAGGCCGGAGCTTTTAACTTTTACATCTATTATATGTTCAATACATTTAATAGATGGGATATTCTTTAGTTGAGCAATTTGTTTAGAGTAATTCTTCACTAAGAACCTATTCTTTAGGACTGGAAAAAAGGAAGTGGATGTTGGAAAAAATTAGAAAAAACTGGAAGATACTGGAAGGATCTGAAAGAAACTAGAAGAATTGGAAGAAACTTGAACAACTAGAAGAAACAGAAAGAAACTAGAAAAAATTAGGTGGAACTGAAAAAACCAAAAACAATTGGAAAATCGAAAAAAAATTTAAAATTTGTCATTGTTATTAATTTATTATTATAACTATAATTATTATTATATTCATAATTACAGTATCTTAATCAATGTCTTTAAGACAAAAAAGCATTGTGATTTTCCATACAAAAGAAAATCTACTTTCTCAAATTTTTTAATTAGAATATGAAGTTAGAATAAATATTAAAGTGTTAAACCTAAAAAGTTATTGCGGTTATGTTGCACCTCAATTTATTTATGTAGTATTTATTATAAAATA